ACATTTACTACGAGTATAAAATACTAAAGAAAGGTTAATTATTACTTTCATATAGCATAGAAATAGAATAAAAATACCACTATAAAAACATTGCGCAACACGTTTATTGGATTAAAATATTACGTAAATTGAATATCGAATTAAAAACCATCATACCAACGTTTAAAAGAATTAAAATATTACTTAAAATAAATACTTTAAATAAGTAAATAAGAACGCTTCGTACACTAGAGCTAAAATGACAGCAATTAGTTTATTGTCGGTAAAAAAGGAGGAATGTCTAATAATTTTCTTACCTTTACAGCGGTTATTTCTTCCAACATGACCACAATATCATATACGGCCATCTCAGAATCGGCTCTTTTAACGGTCTACATCTGTGATCTACATTTTCGCACTTCATTGAAGAAACAATTAGCGACGTTTCCTTCAAAAATTTTAAATAAATTTCCTCTGACCCTTGTAAGAATTTATAAATAAATCTTTGATTAGGAAAGTCAGGCTGGCGAAAATAAGGTCTCAAAGGACAATTTTTTGATTCCGAAACCAAAAATTCTTGGTACTTATCAAAAACCACATTCATCTTATCAAAAACCACATTCATCTTTGAAGGAGACATTTTTGAAGGAATTCGAAGATATGAATTAAATTTTAAAATGGTGCGGTAATGCACAAATTTTCAGCAACCTATCAGGGAGCTGATTACAGCTCATTAATGCACAAATATTCTAAAACCAATCAGAGAGCTGATTACATCACGCCTAGAATTAAAATTATTTAAATAATCATACATAATAAAATCATTTTAAAAAAGAAATGCAAAATTAAATTGTATTTTAATATTTAACAGCCATAAATAATGTTTTAAAACATTAGATTTAATTTTATAGATATTAAAACCAATTACTTTTAAAGTAAGGTGACGTCACTGATTACATCATCCACAGCATAAAATTTCATAAAATATGATAAAGAATAAAATTTTTATCAAAAATGCAATTAAATATTTTATTTTAAGCATTTATTAAAACATTTATTAAAAAACGATTTTATAAATCCAAAAAACTGCGGAATGTCTTTGTGCAGAAAATGTGCGTTAAAGTTTTTATTATCGTTTTGTAAAATTGTACACTACATTTCATGTAAATTTTGTGCTTGGTTAGAAATGTGATATGACTTTTCGTGTTTCAATTTTACTCTACGATTGGTAATTTAAAGTCGCATGCTATATTTTGATGTATTGTCACCAAACCTGTTGGTTTGCACCTTTGTTAAAAATTGGATACATAGTTATGATCTAAATTATAAATTATTTAGGTTTTTCGTTATATTAAGATAAATAAATTGTGTATTTGTCTAGGCATTTTGAAGAAGTATTAATTTAAATATTCTATGCATCATTTTGATCCTATTATCATGCTTTTATGTTATAGTAAACCTTCATGTTGTATTTCTAACTATAGTTACTTTAAATTTATTTTCAATGTGTGAACAGGAAATATGTTTTAATTAGCAGTATTAATTAATTAATTTTGCAAATTTAGGGGGGATTTAAAAGTCCTCCTGAAATTTTTAAATTATGCTTTCTATGTGAAAAAATAATTCAAAATTTTCAAGACAAAATAATATGTGGAAATATAACTATGGACGAAGAATTTATAAATATGCAAAATCAGATGAGGTAAATATTCCCTCCTGTTACAATATCAAAACAAAGATCATAAAATGTTTGACTGCACGTGGAATTTTTTTTTTTTTTTTTTTCAAGAAGCTTATTCAAAATAAAAAGCAGCATGAGGAAAGTTTTGAAGCTCCTGCTTTTAAAAGGAAGAAACTAAATTAGAATCTGAATCGACAGTTTAAGAAGTTTTTACTGTTCAGTTCTGTCTGTGAAAAAGTACATTAGTTATTGCTGAAAAATTGTTGCTTATCTCTTAGAACAATAGTTATACCCACGAGTAGCTGAATGGTTAAGGTTACTGAATGCTAAGAGTACATTTTCTGTTCTTTTTCTGAACATGCTGTCTGCATGGTTTTTTTTTTTTTTTTTTTTTTTTTTTTTTTTTTTACGTATAAAGTGAATACAAGCCAGTTCTCATTAGAAAGTCCTTCACCATGAGCAGATAGCACTTTTGAGCTTTGTGATAGTCAACTAACCAAACTGTTATGAATATTAGATAATAAGCTTAACATTGGTGAAGATCTTTCTCGTAAATTTGACATGGAATATCTCTTGGTCTGCTAAATCAAATTTACTTTTGTGTGACCTTAAATCAGAGGCACCAATCGTGAATCTGTTTTGGCGTGTTTTAAGAATTATAAATGAAAAATTTATTGCTACTGTGGAAGAATGCTCAACTAATGTTTACCTTACTAATCAATTCTTATAGTATTGTAATGGCTTGCTCTGTTGCAAATTTTTCGCTAACCAGAAACTTTCAGTACTGCATTTCCTTTAATTGTGTTTTTGTTTATGCCCTTTCAGTTATAATTCTTATAATCATAGGGATAATGAAAGTATTTAATTACTTTATATTTAAGAAATAATTAAGTTTTTTTATTTATGGTAATATTTTGCACAGATTATAAAGTAAACATTTCACAAAAGAGAGCATATATTTTCGGGAATATTGTTTAAAGTAAAAATGATATCAGTTTTTAAACATTATATATATATATATTAAGAAAATAAAATCAGGCTCTAGTGTAGAATTGGGTGCCCCTTTGATTAGCGACATTTTTTTTTTTTTTTTTTTTTGGCAATGAAACCTCGCTTCAGGTTACCATGATAGTTTTAACTTTGTTTTAGCTTCCTTATTTAAATGAAAATAGATTGATGTGTACATGGACAAATTTAAGGCAGTGCGCAATGCCTAGTTTGTGCAATTCTAGGATGCTTTTTTAAGTGAAAACATATCGATGTGTACATGGACACAGAGTTCGTGCAATTCTTTTTTTTTCCTTTTACTTATTACATGCTCCGCCTTTAGGCACTACAGGAAAAGGAGGAATGCCCCGTGGAGGTCTTGCTAAAATCCTAGTATACGGTGCAGCCTTGGTGCAATTTTGAAAATTATCGCCAACATCAAAATGACCTGTTTAACTACTCATCGTATATGTCCCGTTTACTGCTCATCATAAAGTGGGCAAAAGTAGCCAAATCCCTTGTGCACCAGATACTAGGATTAAACTTTTAAAATCCTAGTATACGGTGCAGCCTTGGTGCGATTTTGAAACTTATCGCCAACACCAAAAATGACCCAAAGAACGTCTATGTATATACTATACACTATATACATAGTATATGCTATGTATAACTATATATATTCTTTGAATGACGCGTTTACTACTCATCATATATGTCCCGTTTTTACTGCTCATCATAAAGTCGCCAAAAGTAGCCAAATCCTGTGTGCACCGGATACTAGGATTAAACCGAGGTCTTTTTAAGGTAAACTGGCTCATATCCAAGTTACACATGGGGAAAGCCACGAAAACGCCCATGCAGCCAGCCCATTTGCCGGGATTCGAACCCTGGACCGAACTACCAGTGTTCAGCGGCTTTTACCGCTTGCCCACTGGTGGGCTTGTGCGATTCTTTGACTTCTTATTTTGGTTTTGTATAGCGGCCATTTTGAAATTGTGCCTTCCTGACGCCAATCTTGGTGTCAAAAAAGAATCGCCAAAATACAAGGGACACCCAATTGTAAACTTTTACCTAAAATCACTACTCATCATGACACCAAATTTTTTAAAATGAATTTAGATCAGTAAAATATTCAAGACTATGCAAATTGTAAACAAAAACCAATGCACGTATAAAGAATTCTTTATTTGATTGCAGTCTTAATGTGACATGTCAGAACACTTTTCATATTTCACATTTTATTTATTCATTAAAAATTATTATGCATTCAAGTTTGTTTTCATTTTAAACTTAGTTTTGAAAAGGCATAATAAATTATTTTCCAGAATATAATATCTGTTGTAATGTCCATAGATGGATTTATATTAAAATATAAAATTTTATTTGTTAGAAAATAATACAAATTTTCATAAATTCAACTGCTAAAGAAAAATACACAACAGTACATTTATAACAAATTTTATTACAGCATCTTTACACATATCATTATAACTGAAATCCGACACAATTATTTGTTCTGTGTTGACACAAAAGAAATACAATGCAAGAATATAAAACTCGATCATTATAAGAAATGAACATTCGTAATATGAATCATTTATTATCTTCATAATAAATGGTTTTCTCTCCTTTTAATGCAATATTCAGGTATAGAATCCAGTACAGTTCTGTTATGGGGAAGCCATCGGCAAATTTTTTGCTAAACTCGCCAAGAGACTGGTTCATATGAAGTCGCCAATGTTTACTTCTAAAGTCATTAGAATGTTAACTTTTTTAAGAAAATGTAAAAGAATGTCTTTTCAAAATTGGCAATGAGAATGCAAATTCCAAAGATGTAATGGTCACTTGTATTTCAATCAACAGGCCTTCAACACAAGTTTCCCATATTCTATTATAAAATCTCTGGTTTCAATGATAAATGTAAGAGAATACATGTCAATATAGAATAATGACAATACACCAATGGCATTTTAGGGGAAAAAAAAAAAGTTTGCTTATTATCAATAATTAAATTTACAGTTATATGAAATAAAATAAACATACCCATTACATGCATCACAAGGTAATTTGTTTAAGAAATATTTTTCCATTCTTATGATACTCAGTTTCATAATATCCACAATTATCTGGGACATTTTTTTACTTCTTCAGCACATAAAGCTCTTGCAATAATCAAAGATCTTTCCATCTATTTTATAATACTGACGATTTGTTACACAAGACACCACACTGATAAGCACAAATGTATATTACCAAATGAAGAGTTTTTGTTGAAAATAAGGAGGATGAATTATTCCAATACTTATATTTGGAATTAAATCATGCACACAATCAAGTTCTAGATATTCCTTTGTTAATCATTTTCTTTATCATTCAGGACTGATCGATATTCTTGAACAGAGTGGTGTGACAATGGATATTGCACATATTTTTTAGTCCACAAAGCACCAATTCTTAACTTCAATAAACTAAGATATATCCTATGCATTTTTACACCTGAGAGCCATTTCATGATAAAAAACACTCCTTTCTTCGTTATGAATACCTGAAACAAAGAAAGAAAAAACAGAACAAATTTATTTTTTAGTCTTTAAAATCATATATCATATATCTATATAACTATTATATGTGAAATGTTGAAATGTTATAAAGACTATATATGTATGTAACTTTAAAGTAAAAATTAAATATAATATATATATATATAATATATTATATTATTATTATTAAAATTATTATTATTATAATTATGTATATCTGTATGTATGTCTCTTTTTCTTAATTAAACAACAAGGTGTTTAGCCGAGGTTTCCAAGCCTCGTGTAGCCAGGTTTCCAAGCCTCGTACCAAAGTGTACGTGGTAGAGCCTTATCATGTCACAATGAAAAAGGATACCGGACGTCCCTTGCAGTCACACTTCATCATTCTTTATTTAATTATTTCAATAACTTTTCAAACTTTTAGTCTGTTTGCTTATTTTTCATGTTCCAAAACGAAAAGTCCCTAGGCCATTTCCAAGTCGTTTTCCAGTAGAAGCAGTCCGGCTAATTCTATCTTTGGATTTCTTAACAGTGAGATTTTTTATGGGGTGGGGTAGTTAGCCCCACACCCAACCCCCAACCTGGAGGACCAGTTCCCTGATATAATCCCCAGGGGCAGGGTGCCCGGCTATACCCCCAGACGCTGGGTACCCATTTTAGTCGCCTTTTACGACATGTATGAGCTACATTGGGACTATTCTTTCACACCCGGTCACCACACGGGTATATTAGTAGATTGATTTGTGCTTATTCACTGTGAATAATGTGAAGAGCAAATATTACTTGAGCTGAACATGTAGTACTATCCAGAAAGAGTCCATACAATTATTGCATAAATAGAAATATTAGAGTTAGATTGTTGTGCAGAAAGAAGACATTATGGAATTTGTCTTTTTTCTACACTACTACACTATGCCATGTAATATGTTCTTTCTACACTACTACTCTATGCCATGTAATTGCAGGATACAAAATCTTAAATAATGATGAACATTTTAAGAAACACAATTGAAATACAAAATAGAAACTTTGGGAACTTGAGAAGTAACTGAGTATAAAGAAAATTTTAAATAATATAAAATCTTCAGTAATACCAAAAACTTGGTTAAATAACTAAATAAGCAAAGAATAATATCTACAAGTCCAGAATAAATTATGATATTTAGCATTTAAATGTATAATAAATATGCTTCTTAAATCTCAGCTGCTCAGCAACGATGACACGTAGATATTTAGCAAAGGCGCTTGTAAATACAATATAGAAATTTCAGGACCTTGAGAAGTAACTTAGTATAAAAAGCAAATTAAAAATTATATAAAATCTTGAGTAATAAAATTAAAAACTTGGTTAAATAAGCAAAGAATAATATATACAAAATCCAAAAAAAAATAAATAAAAAGCAATTTAAATGTAATAAAAAATGCTTCTTAAATCTCAAATCTCAGCTCTCACCAAAGATGACACGTAGATATTTAGCAAAGATTTGCAGAGTTACTTGAAAAAGAGAATTACTTTTAAAAGAATTTACTTTCTTAAATCAGACAAAGATGACATTATTTAGCAAAGATGCAGTTTGAGAGAACTTTAAAAATTACTTTTAAAGACAGCATCAATGTTTTGCCCCCCCCCAAGTGTTTGAAGTTTTCTTTATTGGACTTAATATCGTCATTTTTCCTATTGCAAAGATTCTTGAGCATGATATTTGTTGATATCCAAATTATCAGTTTGCTTATACTTTCACTTGTATGACCATTATCACAAATAATATCATCAAAGAGCATTTCTTTTAATTCTAAAATTTTAAAAGTCAAATTTGCAACAATTTTCCTCTGATTTTGTTCCAACAAAAAATCTTCATATTCTTCACTACACAGCTTATTTACAATTAAATAATTATACATAATTATATTTACAATAAATGGTTTTGGCCACCTGAGTCCACCACGATCAAGATTCTTTATAAGATCATACGTTTGATCATGATTAACTGTGGAATTTATTGTAATGTTTTGTTTGCAGGTACAGCATTTCACTTTCTTTAAAACTGCATGACAACAGTAACCACCCAAATAAGTCAGAACTGGCAGATGGCTACTAATGCCCTTCACATCACTCTCCGTAATATTTAATGATGGGTAATATACTGTATTATCTAATTCTATAATATCATGAAGATTATCATCATATTCAAATGATGTTAAAGGGACAGTAGTATTTTTAATAATCAATTCTAACTTAATACTTGATTGTATTCTTAATTTTTTTTCACATTCTAATAACTGTCTCATTGAAATATGATACTGAGAACCAGAAAGTTGTCTGTATTTACCAAACCGGGCTTCAAGAGCATCAGTCTGAATTTTTCCTGGAAGTATATATTTCATTCCAAGCTCTTCAACACAATATCTAGTCAACTCCAGTATACCATAAGTAGTTTGTTTGAGAGCTGCATGAGTTTCTTTTGTAAGCATGCCTGTTGAACATTTCATTGATTCCCATGCATCTAACCAGTTAAGAAACTGATTGAGGAAAATAACTTTTGGATCAGAATCATCTGCTGTTAATGGCTTCATAAATTCACTCTTTTGATGTATACCTTTAAACATAGTTTTAACATTCATAATATCCCACCATTTGCATATTATGGATATAAACTCAGATGTATCTGAATAGTGTGGTATTTCATGCAAAGGACCCAAATGAATCAGACCTTCAATAGTAAATTTATTGAAAATCTTAAGAACCAGTTTAATGTTTTGTTTCTCTAAATTAGAAGGTGAAAGACTTTTTAGAGTTAAACCATTAGAAAATGTAATCAGTTGGTCATTTTCAATTTCATGTAGCTTTCTCAAAGACATAAACGAAGCAGTTTTGAAGTGCTTCTTTGAAAGATCTTCAATATTTGGAAAAAACATACATGTACCAGGATTTTTCTGGTTCAGCCAATTGTTCCTTATATTTTTAAATAAATGAACTGCATCTATTATGTAGAAAAGAGGCCTATTCCCATTCATTGGATGTTTGTAAACAAATGAATTACGTGGTGGATTTGAAAACAAACTCATGGCTTTTCTATTTATTGCATTGTTGTCTGTAATAACACAAATAACAATAATTCCCATATTTTCAAGACCTCTAATCACTTTTTTAATTACATAATGTAATGTTTCAAAATTTATTGTGTTAACAGGCATAATATGTACTACCTCTTTGAATGAAGATTCCAAACTGGATATCATAAAAGCAAATGCACTGGTTGCCGGACTGGAAGAATCAAATGCAGCCCCAACGACAGAGCCTCCTTTGTAATCAAAATATGGCTGAACATAAATTTCATCTACCAAAAGAATCACTTTTCTTTCTCGATCCTCAAGGAAAGTTACACGATTTTTTATATATTTTAAAAAATTTTCATCAATAGTTTCATTACATGGTGACAATACTAAATTGCTACAAATTTTTTTTTTAAAGTCGAAGGATGAGGCATAATAATACTGCCACTATCCCTTAAAAATTTATATGCATGTGGTGATATAGTATTTAACAAGCATGCTAACACTAGTACATCAGGATTGTATCTAAAATTATTTTTAGGGCAAAGTAAAAGATTCATCTGGTCTTGCAAAAATTTAATAATGCTCTCATTTTTGTCGTTAGAGATAGTTTGCAGTAATTCATTAATTATATCAATTGTTATGGTTAATTTTGAATTTAACTCTTTGGTTTGAAGATTAGCCAATTTATCTAAAACAGTCCTAATTTCATTAAAATTTGTAACTTTATGTGGGAATGTGTAAGGAGATAATTGCATAATAGATTTTTCTTTAATAAATACAGACATTTCTTGATTGTCATTCACAACTACAGAATAATCAATTGATGGCCCAGGACTAAAAACAATATGAATAAAGCAAACAGTTGAGGTATCTGGAACTGTGTATACATGCCAAAATGCTGATATTCCATAGCGATCAATACATGACAAAATATCATTAGAACAATTAATTTTCAAATCATTATTATACATTTCATATTCTTTAAGGCTTTCACGCAATGCTTTCTGTAAATTATGGCACTCGCGGGCAGTTTTTTTTTGCATCAGGATCTTCTCGTACAATGGTGCTACTTTTTGAACTGTATACAGATGGATAGTCCTTAAATATTGATGGCACTGTATTTTCTTTTAATCTACGCACCTGAAGTGGAGCAGAAATTAAAATTCCATTCTTAGAATCAAATGTTGAAGCTTCAACTTTAAAATCACTTTCCTTGAAATGCAATTCACAAACCTTTAGAGAAAATTAAAAAAAAAAAAAAAAAAAAAAAAAAAAAAAAAAATTATGTTAATAGTAATAGTTTAAAAATCAGAGGGTTCATTCGTTCATTCTGAGCATTTGTAGCAAAGAATATTCATTTCACAGATAGAACCAGAGAATATCTGCAGTGATTAAACTCTATTTCAATCCTTTATTTCTGTATATCCTGGTTTATGTAACAAAATATTATCATTTAAAAATTTCTGAATGAACCCTTATATGTAATTAGAATCTACACTATTAATTAATAACTCTACTTTACTTACCTTTGAACTCTTTTTGGGTGAAAAGTCTTTCCGTTGGATTGCAGAAAGCCACTCTCTCTTCAAATCTTCATTTTTAGGAAAGGAGAATACAGACACTTTTGGTCCTGTTGGGTAGTTTCCCTTACATAATGGTACACAGCATCTACCCGGCATTTTAATAACTGAAATGTTTTTATTTAAATTAATATATAAAAGGGAGTAAATAGTTATGTATAAAATATAAATTAATTATTTTTAAATATAAAAGGGAGTAAATAGTTATAGTGTATAGCTAATGGCATGTAAAATTTTAAGAATAAGC